ATCTTCTCCCTTCTAGTGTACTAAAATCCTGCCAGTTTATCTGCTTACCTTTTGAACAGGCTCCAGCTATGAACTTTCTTAGCCACTCGATCACTTCTAGTCCTTCCAGCAATATTGTACCCTTTTTCGCTTCCCTTACCTTCAGGCTTACCTTCCCCTTGATTCTCATCTCTTCGAACAGGAGATTTTTTGCTTCTATCTTCAAGGATCTCCTCCACTGACCTTTCTGGCTTTGCTTTTCTTAAAAACTTCTCGCTTGAAACTCCACACACCCTCATCCTCCAAAACGCCCCTTCAGATTCAGGACCTGCATGTGTCTCACTTTCCTTGACCACAGCCTCCCTCTTATCCAACTGATAGTACACGTGTCCCGTTGCGTCCTTTTCCACTCCAAAAGAGCCCACCTTCAATAACTGTGGGACCACCCTTAAAACAGAATCGATAATCAGAGGCCTTACTTAAATCATAACTCTTCCCTCCCCCCAAAATCTAATGTCATTGGGACCCCCTTCACCATTCTCAAAACAAAAAACTTTGCCTGAAATACCAAAAATGACCATCTTCAACCTTTGAGTCTCCCTTATTGAAGTAACTGTTCATCTTTCCACTTGACTCAGCTATCTCCCTAAACTTCGTTTGTAGTAACAGAGACTCAACCCACCTCTGTGTATAAGAACCTTCAATAACCAATCTCAACTCGCAGCTCTCTCCAGCATATCGAAGGGTCAAAAACGAAGGAACCAAATGAATCTCACACACCTTGACCAAGATACAAGCCGCCGAGAGGTTTCTCCAGGAAGTCGTTCTACGATCAACAAATCTGAAACTCCCACAAGCATCTCCCACTGCTTTGAACATTTGAAAACTCTAAGCATGCAATGGAATGCCGTAGAAGTTGATCCAAACCAAACTCGATGAATCGAAATCTGACTGTTCCAACTAAAGGGCTCCATTTCTCAAGGCTCAGTTCGGGAGAGCAAAACAGATTTTGTTTTCGATCGAAAGTCTCGTTCGCTTCATCAATATTATCAAATATAAACAACAAGCCTGTGTTCAGTTTTCTAACCTGAAAAGATGAGTTTGGTCACCATACTTCAGTCAGCCTAGCTCTTACAAACTCCTCGTTAGGATTAAAATTAACAAAACACTCGACCAAACATCTTTCCAGCAATTTCAAAGACCAAAAACACCGTCATTCGCATTCACAATCACAATTACTTCGTCATGGGAGGGTAGCAGAGCTATTTCGCTACTCCCCATAAGTCTGATGGTTTCTTATGGTGAATACCAGTGGAATTTGATGGTTTCTTATACTTCCCCACTCCCCAGAAGTCTTCTGCATATTTGTTTATACCAATAATACAACTAAAAAAACATGACTAACTTCCTTGGATTGCAAGTTTATTTCCTAAGACTTATTTAAGGGGACAGACCAATCTAATATGGGTTTTGATCTTCTGAATAATTTATCAATTCCAACATTTTATCCAAAACGCTACCTCATGATTTCTTTTGCTTCTATATGTATAACTTCATATCTGTATATAGACTTGATAGAAAAAATTTGGAAATTAATATTGAAAAGAGTCAAACGACAGATAAAAAGGAAATTTACAAGTATTACTAGAACTTCATTAACAAAATACCTGGTAGAGAAGCATGATTGCACAACCGCAATGGGTGTCATGGGATAAAAGGTTCTCTCAAACTTATCAGAGTTATTTTCTGTCAATGCTTTCCTCAAAGCCTACAGTGTCAAAACAAAAAGTATCATTTTATCATATTATATAATAAATTAATAATATGATACATAAACAAGAAATGAATAGTTTCTTGGTACACAAATAATAGTCAAACAATAATAAATTACTTTTCTTAAAAAAAAATAATGGTATAAGGATATGAATTTGAAGATGGCACAATCTAACTCTCTCAAATGTAAACAAGCAAGGCACCAAAATCTTCTTTGAGCATACTAAGGAAATTCGTTGCAGTTGCTAGTTTCCCTTAATCTGAAGACACAGTCCCATCATTGGCTCTATAATATCCTTTTTATCATCATGGACAGTAATGTGTGTCAACAAGCTTAGGGTCTGGCAAGAAGGCAGTCATGAATAGCAATAACCTTTCTGCTAAGAGGTAGAGGAGTACTGCCCTGGTAAGACAGAATATGTGGGAGTGGAAAACCAAGCAAATGCAATATTTTCTAATTGGACTTCTTTTCTTCCTCCTCTTCTTTTCTTGGTCTTCAATGTATAACAAGTAAGAGGTAATCTAAATGTCCCAAGGAAGCTTAAAATTACTTTGAAATGCATGTGGATTTCCCAATCACATCTTATTCAACCAATGCATCAACAACTTCAATGCAACTTCTATGACCTCATATATGGTATTGGTATCTATACTTGGTAGTTCTAAACCACTTAATCTAATCCTCTCATGGCAATTGGACTGGACTATGCCAATAGAGTAACTTGGTTTTGGTATTGAGAAAATTAGAGAGGCTGTTTTTCATGGAAAGATCAAAAGCACCTGAGCCAGATGGCTTTTCTATGGCTTTCTTTCAAGACTGTTGGGAGGTCTTGGGAAAGGATTTGAAAGAGGTGTTCAATGAATTTCATCAGAAAGGGGAGATCTCACTTTTTTTATCAGCAAAACAGCAAAATTTTCATTAATTATGAGAGAAACATGATTACAACAAGTTGTGAAAGGAACCAGCTATAGAAGCTGTCCCAAATCAGTACCACATTTGAGCCCAAAACATGTGTTCTATGTCCCAAATCTGTATTCATTCCTCAAGTGCCATGCCACCCCCTCCCCTTTAACCAGCCACTTAACCACAGTTTTAGAATTTCCCTCAATAATCAGCCTCCTAATACCCAGTTCTTTTGCCTTCTCAACCCCAAAAACTGCAGCCAAAAACTCTGATCTTGCCACATCACCCTGCTCCACAGGGCCAGAGTAAAAAGCAATTATACTCCCCTCTTTATCCCTAATGACTCCCCCAATACCTGAGGGGCCTGGGTTATCCAAACATCTCCCATCAAAATTCAGCTTCTTCCAACCATTTATTGGAGGAGACCAAACTTCAACAGATCTTTGTCTTGTAGTTGAGGATGCAGTGATGGTACCCCAAGCTCTGAAGAAATCTTCAATCTTGAAATTTGAAAGCAGCTCCAAACTTTTTGCCCAATGAGCTACCCTCAATGTTATAGTTTCAACCAAGGCTTCCTTGCTTCGTTCCTTCTCTTCAAATATTCTTGCATTTCTTTCCTCCCACACAGTCCAAATTAGTGCTGCTCTAGTACATCTCCACAAGGTCCTACCCCTCTTTTTTGTACAGCTAATGCTAGTAGGGCTACACAAACCCTCCAACCTATCAGGAGAAGACCAACTGCATCCAAAGAGAGAAGTAAACCAATCCCAAAGATGGCTAATAAACGGGCAAGAGATAAGAAGATGAATTGCAGTCTCACCATTCAACATGCAAAGAACACACTAGTTGGGGGACAAACACCAGTTTGGTCTCTTCCTTTGAAGTAAATCAAACGTATTAATGCTTCCATAAAACACTTCCCAGCAGAAGGCACTAATTTTAGGGGGAATGGGAGAACACAAGACTTCCTTGACTGGGAAAGAATAGGAAGAAGAGGAGGCAACCAGAGAACAAAAGGATTTGCAAGAGAACTGCCCAACAGAATTAGGACCAAGCCACCTTCACACAAGAAAACTGAATTCAACAAGCTCAAAAGATCAGTCATCATAGAAAGTTCAGATTCTCTAAGGTTTCTAATGAAGCCAAAATTCCAATTCAATCCTGTAGAGAAGTGATGCTGAGTAAGGAAATTGGAAATGGGCCTACCCTTAAACCGGGAAATATCAAAGAGAGAAGGGAATTTAATATCCAAAGGGGTATCCCCAATCCACACATCCTCCCAAAACCTGATTTTTTTACCAGAGCCCAAGTCATACCTAATGTGAAGTGTAGAGAACACTGATGTGGGCCCCACAGCTACGGTCCCACTGTGTTTGTAGGGTAGAAGGTGTTCTAGTCTTCCTAGGGTTAGCTGTTGGTCATTTAGTTGTTTCAGTTGCTATTTATTTCAGTCTTATTTTGCTCTATTATGTTATGTAAAGACTAAGGGCAGATCTGTCATTTCCATGTAATGAGCATAAACTATAAATATTAATTAAAGTGGTGACGGCAGAATATTAAGCTTCTGCTCCTCCTTTCAACTCTTGTGTTCTACTGCTTCTCCTCCCTCTTCCTCCTCTYTTCTCTTTACCTTTCTTYTTATKTTYGAACCTGAAATCCATTAGGGTTCAAGACTGATAACAGTCCTGAACTTCTACTTGGTATYAGAGMTAGGGTTTCTCATGTGAGTCTAGTCCAGCCGACCACATGAGAACCATCTAAGGCTAGAAGCTGAGAAAATAGAGTTCGTTGACTGGTTCTTGGAGATCTCCAGAGGGTTTAGCAGCTGTTTGAAGAATTGCCACAGTTGCAGCGTGGTGGTGATCAGGAAGAATCAGAGAAGGCTAGGGTTCGGGTAACCTTGGAAGGCAGCGAACAACATCCTATTGTAAGTTTTTTATTTTCTGAGAGAAGTACTATCAGAGAAGATAGGTTGGACCTATCTAGCAAGGGCAGCCGAACCACTCTAGGGTTTTATCTTTCTATTCTCTAGGGTTGTCTTAACCCTGTGGCAAACCCTAATAGTTCTCTCCTCAACATTGATCAGTTTTAGGGTTTCATATTAACCCTACTACAAGCCTTATCCGTACGGTACTATCTGGAGTGTACGGCTGAGAATTTGCTTTTAGGACTGATTAAAACCTCAATTCGGCTTCAGCATATCAGATTGTTCTTCAAACTGTTTTTCAGTTTTC